AGAAAAATGAATTCGTAGTCGGCAGGATTCCAACCAGCGCGGGGAGATCCCAATGGATTTCTAGTCCATCGCCTTAACCACTCGGCCACGACTACTTGAGTGGTTGGTGGTTTCCAAATTTTTATTCTCCAATATTCAACTAAATAAACAAAAATTTTGTTATTGAATACATATATTAAAATTGGTTAAAATCTTAAACAAATAAAAAAATGTTTTGTTCTAAATCGTATAAAACAGATTTTTATAATTGGATTTAGCGTGCTGATGCAAGCAACAGAAAAATGAATTCGTAGTCGGCAGGATTCGAACCTGCGCGGGAAGATCCCAATGGATTTCTAGTCCATCACCTTAACCACTCGGCCACGACAACTTGAGTGGTTGGTGGTTCCCAAATTTTTATTCTCCAGTATAGATTTTTATAATTGGATTTAGCGAGCTGATGCAAGCAAGAGAAAAATGAATTCGTAGTCGGCAGGATTCGAACCTGCGCGGGAAGATCCCAATGGATTTCAAGTCCATCGCCTTAACCACTCGGCCACGACTACTTGAGTGGTTAGTGGTTACCAAATTTTTATTCTCCAGTATTCAGCGAAATAAACAAAAATTTTGTTATGGAAGACATATATTAAAATTGGTTAAAATCTTAAACAAATAAAAATATGTTTTGTTCTAAATCGTATAAAACAGATTTTTATAATTGGATTTAGCGAGCTGATGCAAGCAACAGAAAAATGATTTCGTAGTCGGCGGGATTCGAACCTGCGCGGGAAGATCACCGTGGATTTCAAGTCCATCGCCTTAACCACTCGGCCACGACTACTTGAGTGGTTGGTGGTTCCCAAATTTTTATTCTCCAGTATTCAGCGAAATAAACAAAAATTTTGTTATGGAATACATATATTAAAATTGGTTAAAATCTTAAACAAATAAAAAAATTTTTTGATCTAAATCGTATAAAACAGATTTTAATAGTTGGATTTAGCGAGCTGATGCAAGCAACAGAAAAATGAATTCGTAGTCGGCAGGATTCGAACCTGCGCGGGAAGATCCCAATGGATTTCTAGTCCATCGCCTTAACCACTCGGCCACGACTACTTGAGTGGTTGGTGGTTCTCAAATTTTTATTTTCCTGTATTCAACTAAATAAACAAAAATTTTGTTATGGAATACATATATTAAAATTGGTTAAAATGTTAAACAAATAAAAATATGTTTTGTTCTATATCATATAAAACAGATATTTTAAATTTGATTTAGTGAGCTGATGCAAGCAACAGAAAAAAGAATTATGCTTTGTTCTAAATCCTATAAAAAAGAATTTTATAATTGGATTTAGCGAGCTGATGCAAGCAACAGAAAACTGAATTCGCAGTCGGCAGGATTCGAACCTGCTCGGGAATATCCCAATGAATTTCTAGTCCATCCCCTTAACCACTCGGCCACGACTACTTCAGTGGTTGGTGGTTCCCAAATTTTTATTCTTCAGTATTCAACTAAATAAACAATAATTTTGTTATGGATTACATATAAAAAAATTGGTTAAAATCTTAAACAAATAAAAATATGTTTTGTTCTAAATCGTATAAAACAGATTTTTATAATTGGATTTAGCGAGCTAATGCAAGCAACAGAAAAAATAATTCGTAGTCGGCAGGATTCGAACCTGCGCGTGAAGATCCCAATGGATTTCTAGTCCATCGCCTTAACCACTCGGCCACGACTACCTGTGTGGTTGGTGGTTCCCAAATTTTTATTCTCCAGTATTCAACTAAATAAACAAAAATTTTGTTATGGAATACATATATTAAAATTGGTTAAAATCTTGAACGAATAAAAATATGTTTGTTCTATATCATATAAAACAGATTTTTATAATTTGATTTAGCGAGCTGATGCAAGCAACAGAAAAAAGGATTCGAAGTCGGCAGGTTTGGAACCTGCGCGGGAAGATCCCAATGGATTTCTAGTCCATCGCCTTAACCACTCGGCCACGACTACTTGAGTGGTTGGTGGTTTCTAAATTTTTATTCTCTAGTATTCAACTAAATAAACAAAAATTTTGTTATGGTAGACATATATTAAAATTGGTTAAAATCTTAAACAAATAAAAATATGTTTTGTTCTAANAAAAATATGTTTTGTTCTAAATCGTATAAAACAGATTTTTATAATTGGATTTAGCGAGCTGATGCAAGCAACAGAAAAATGAATTCGTAGTCGGCAGGATTCGAACCTGCGCGGGAAGATCCCAATGGATTTCAAGTCCATCGCCTTAACCACTCAGTCATGACTACTTGAGTGGCTGGTGGTTCCCAAATTATTATTCTCCAGTATTCAGCGAAATAAACAAAAATTTTTTTATGGAATACATATATTAAAATAGGTTAAAATCTTAAACAAATAAAAAAATGTTTTGTTCTAAATCGTATCAAACAGATTTTAATAGTTGGATTTAGCGAGCTGATGCAAGCAAGAGAAAAATGAATTCGTAGTCAGCAGGAATCGAACCTGCGCGGGAAGATCC